AGAGCTTAGGTAGCTAATCCCTTCCTTCACCCAATCTTTATTCAAAGGGCAGACCCAAAGAATACTGGGGCCCCAGTGACTCTCACTGCACCTTTCTCTTAAGGCATGGATTTCATGCTTGGAGATACAAGCTGAGACTACCAGTAGCTACTACCCCTCATAGTGCTGAATGTGATCAATTAGAGATTTTCCAAGTGTAGCAGCAGTCCCCATATAAAGAAAGCTCTGAGTAAGTCACAAGAAAGATAGGCAACATTATAGGCAAGCTAATTCACCAGAGAGAACCAGGAAAAGAGACATCTACTTAGAGCCCTACTGGGCTGAAAACAAACCTCAAAACTTATCCCTGCCTAGATATAATTGGATCAGACAGTGGAGCAATTTATGCCTCAGAGCACTGTCAAAACAATAAACAAGTAAAACAGTAAAAAAAAATAAAAACAATTTAAAAAGAAGCAAAATTAATTAGCAGAGCCTAAAAGTGGCATTGAATAGAATTGAAGCAGACAGGTTAAAAAAGAGATTAGAAACAGAAACCTTCTAAAACCTCTGTCATTCCTGCTATGTGCATGCCCAAGGCTGCACCTTCTGAGGAACAACACAAAAGACTTCACACTGCAGGAGAAATTGACGTCACAAAAATACACTACTCAAGCAACAAAACAAATAAGCAAATCAAAGCATAAATAAGCCCTAGTATTGAAGAAACAGAATCAGTATGCAGAGTTGCCACAAGAAATTACCTCCAATGTTCATTTTTCACAAAATGTTATAATACGTTGCAAAGAAACTGGAACTAGTCACTCATAAAGAAGAAAAACAAAAAGTAGGCAACAAAAAATAAGAGAAAGACCAAATGTTATAATTAACACTTCAAAGTAGCCGTTATAAATGTGTTCAAAGAACTTATGGAAGCCATGCTTAAGGAATTAAAGGAAGCTATGAGAAAAAATATCTCTTCAAAGAGTGATAAATAGATAAAAATTATTTTAAAAGAGGGAAGTAAAATTTATGGAGTTAAAAATTACAGTAATCGAAAAGAAAAATATATAACCAAGGAATTCAACAGTACACTTAAACTGAAAGTAGAAAGAATCAGAAACTTGACTATAAATACAGCTTATGCAATCTAAAGAACAAAGATAAAATAGAATGAAGAGACTAAATAAACCCAAAGTGAAAAGTGGTACATTTTTAAGCACACCAACATATATGTAGTGGGAGTAGCAAAGAAGAGGGGGAAAAAACGGGAAAAGCAAATATAAAAAATGACTGAAAACTTCCTGAGGTTTTTGGGAAACACTAATCTTCACATCCAAGAAGCTCAAAAAAGTTTTGAACAATAAACTCAAAGAGATACACACAGATCATAGGAAAAATGTTGACATATAACATAGAAAAAAAATATATTGAAATTGGCAAGAGAAATGTGACTCATCACATACAAGGAAATTTATGCATAATTGACAGTTAACTTCTTATCAGAAACAATGGAAGTTAGAAGGCAGTGAGATAACATAATTTAAAGTGCTCGAAGAAAATAAAAATTTCAAGAATATCAAAGAAATCAAACAAGAATTCCATAGTCATCAGAAATATATTGGTTGGGCACAGTGATCTGTAATCTCAACACTTTGGAAGTCCAAGACAAGAGAATCACTTGAGGCTGAGTGTTCAAGACCAACCTGGGCAATGTGACAAGAACCCATTCTACCAAAAAAAAAAAAAATGCAAAATATTAGCTGAGCACGGTGGTGCATGCCTATAGTTCCAGCTACTCAACAGGCTGAGGCAGGAGGTTCACATGAGCCAGGAGTTCAAGCTTATAGTGAGCTATGATCGTATCATTTTACTCCAGCCCAGGCAACAGAGCGAGACTCTCTCTCAAAAAATAAAAATAAAAATCTTCAAAAAATGAAGGTCAAATATCAACATACTTAGATAAACAGAAACATGGATAATTCATTTCTATAATACCCACTTTGCAAGAAATCCTTAAGGAATTTCTTCAGGATGGAATTAAAGGCACACACACACACAAAAAAAGAAAGGTAATGATGTTCTTAAAAAGACCACATATATGCACATTTTTATTATTTCCTCTCTTAATTGATTTCAAAAGGCAATTGTAAAAAAAAACTATATATGTACAAACCAATATGTATGTAATTTTATTGTGAGCCTTATAAAATAGAGAAATGTAATATATTTGACAATAACAGCATAAAGGATGTGGGTGGAATGGAAGTTGTTTTAGGGTAAGAAAATGACATCAGATGGTAACTCAAATCACAGGAGTAAAATGAAAAAAATAAAAAATACTTTATAAAACAGACAAATACAACTGTATTAGTCTGTTCTCCTGCTGCTATAAGGACATACTGAGACTGAGTAAATTATAAAGGAAAGAAATTTAATTCACTCACAGTTCCTCAGGCCTGGGGAGGCCTCAGGAAACTTACAATCATGGCAGAAGGGGAAGAAAATATGTCTTTCTTCACATAAAGGCAGCAAGAAGCATTGCTGAAGTGTGGAGCAAAAGGGGGAAAATCCCCTTATAAAACCATCAGCTCTTGTGAGAACTCACTATTACAAGAACAGCATGAGAGTAACCAAACCCATGATTAGATTACCTCACACCAGGTCACTCTCCCTACAGATGGGAATTATGATAACTACAATTCAAGATGAGATTTGAGTGGGGACTTCACCAAACCATGTAAATAACCAACTCCATAAACATACACTAGGTCTCCTATTTTCTCTCAGATTCTTTAGTAGTTATGACATATCAATTAATAAATATAACAATGTATTATAGGGTTTATTATATGATATGGGCTAAGCTACAGGCAGGCTTGTTTGCAGATGAGTACCAGGGAATAATACATCTGTGAGGAGCACACCAAGAATCAGAAAAATGATGCAAACATTGTTGGGGGGTTGGGGAGCTAGGGGAGGGATAGCAGGGGATGGGGAAATTGGGGAGGGATAACATTAGGAGAAATACCTAATGTACATGAAGCAGGGGGATGGATGCAGCAAACCATCAAGGCATGTATATACCTGTGTAACAATCCTGCATGATCTGCACATGTACCCCAGAATTAAAAGTGTAATAAAATTAGTAAATAAATAAAGGAGCCTTAAAAGTTAAAAAAAAGAAAAAAGATTCAAACATATGCCTCAGAAACTATTCCTTCAAAGGAGTCAGAATTTATTTGAATTAGTATTTATTAAAATTACTGCCCCAGAGCATGTTGAAAACAGTAAAGCAATCAGCTAGTAATTAGTGGAGTTCAACAGTTGGGTGTGGTTAGGGAAAGGGATGAAAAGTGTCATACGAAAACCATTATCATCTCAAGGTGACTGTGAGCATATCCAATACTGCAATTCCCTGAGGAACAGTATAACAACATCAGACTGGTGACTGTGTGTGTGTTGAGAGAGGGAGATACACTTAGCAAAATAATCTAGTCAATTGCTAAATAAACTATAAAATAATAAAATAACAAGTCTGTGATGATCAGTACCCATAGTGCTTTGGTTCATTATTTTAAATACCCAGTTTCCAATAAAAATGCTATGAGACATGCAAAAAAAAAAAAAAAGTATGACACATACATCAAACAAATAAAAAAGACCATATAAATTGCCTGTAGGAGACCATATGCCAGATTTATAAACATGTTCCTAGACATTATGGAAACCATGATTAAAGAAGTAAAGATATAATGACAATGTCAAATCAAATTGACAATATTAGTTAAGAGGGAAAAATTATAAAAAAGAACTAAGTGGAAATCATGGAGTTCAAAAGTACAGTAATTGGTATAGAAAAGTTCACCACAGGGCCTTAACTGACAGAAGAAAGAATAAGTGAACTTGACAATATGTTCATAGATATTATGTAAACTGAAGAAAAGAGAGGAAAAAAAGAATGGAGAAAAATGAAAAGAGCCTCAGAAATATGGGATACCATTAAGTATACCAATATATGTGTAATGGAAGAAACAAACAAGAGGTGATACAGAAAGAAGCTTAAAAATAGTCAAAGAAATGGTTGGAAACTTCCAAAATTCAAAAACATAATAATCCACAGATTAAGGAAGGTTAGCAGCCTCTCAATAGAGTAACATAAATAGATACCAAAACAAACACATTATAATAAAAAATGTTGAAAGTCAAAAACAATCTTGAAAATACCATGAGAAAAATGACTCATTACATAGATGGAAACCTAAATACAATCATCATCTGACTTCTCATCAAAAATAATGGAGGCAAAAAGACAATGGGATAACATATTCTAAGTGCTCAAAGAAAAAAGCTGTCAACCAAAAACGCTATGCTCAGCAAAAATGTCTTTCAAAAATGAAAGACAAATAAAGACATAAACAACCGAAAGGAATTGTTGATAGCAGAACCACCCTACATGAAATACTAAAAAAGTTGTAAGTGGTAAGTTTGAATCTAAAAGAAAATCAATAGTGAAAAATGGTAATTGTGTAATTTTAAAACACAGTATATTTTTCTCTCAAGTTATTTAAAAAGCAGTGGTAGAAAATAATATGTATAAAATGCACTGTTGTGTCTAACTATATTAAAATGTAATATACATATAATATATTCGTCAATAACATCACAAAAGAAGTGAGTGAGAAAAAATTGTTTTTGGCTAAGGAAATGACAATAGATGATAAAGTAATAATTATAAAAATGATATTGTTTTCTAATATTAATAGACATAATTCTAAGCACTCAAAGAAAAAAAGCTGTCAACAAAGAACCCTATCCAGATGTATGTTATAATATACAACAATAATACCACAAAAAAGAGGAAAAGGAATACAGCTAAATAAGTGTAATATTTCTATAAACCACTGGAATTAAGCTAGTATAAATCAAAAGCTGAACCAAATAAATTAAGATGTATATAGTAGGAGTAACATTAGCAAGATTGTAGAGTACAAAGACTCAGATTCTCCATCCTCCCACAGGAGCAGTGATTCAACAAGAAAATATGGACCAGTTCCTTTAATGAGATATCCGGACCAGTTAAGAAGCTCCTGCACTCCAGGTAAGCATGAAACCAGCTGCAGTAAAGACGGTAGGAAAATTTGTGGCACCTTTTTGCCAATGTCTGCCATCCAACACATTGCCACAAGATTAGGAGGAAACTCCAGGCTCTCAGCTTCCTGGGGAGAGAAAGAGAAGACTGAACCATATGTTAAAAATTCAGGATTTTCAGGGGACTCCCGAAGGGACTCATTTCTGTCTCACGTGTCTTGTAGTACACATGGGATATAGCATAGTCTAGATATCTGGAGGCAACTGCAGACAAACAAACAAAAATCTGGGCTGAAGTCCACTGTTCCAGAGAATCTGCAGTACAGAGGCTAATACAGCATGGCAGCCTCTCACTCAGGTAGTAAGTTAATACTGGAGTGTATATCCAAAGCACTGGTTTTATGAGGGAGGGGCTGCCAGAGGGCCTAGTTTCTGTCTAGCTTGACTTGGGGCACTGAATGAACCTGGCACAGTCTGTATGTCTAAGAACAAATAATAGCTGAGGTTTTCATGTCAGAGTACTGTGGGCCACTGAGAACAAAAAAGAGCTGGGGTTTTCATATCAAAGTACACACAATACAACAGAGAGACACCAGAGGAAACAAGAGAATATGAGCTCCTGAAAAAATAAATAGCAAAGTCCCTCCAATTAGGAATCACAATACACAAACTCAGAGAAGAAACATCCAAATAAAAGGGTTAAGAGGTCCCCAAAATTCCTTACTGGGCTGATTGGTGAAAGTATTTTCCTATACAAAGACAGTAACAGCTGTGAGAGATGATGACTGTTTTCTCAAATGTGTGGGTACCAATACAAAGCTACAGGGAACACATAGAAAAAGGGACACATGACTGAATCAAAAGAAAAACACAAATCTTCAGAAACTGACCTTGAATATATATATACACTATATACAAAAATATATATAATATATATACATACATATGAATCATAGGTATGATACATAAAATATATATCATATATATGAACTGAAAATATTTCCAAAAAATTATAACAAAGATAATTATTTCCTCAGGAAAATTATACATTAAAAATAAGAATTTCAGTAGCAATAACAACTATAAATATATATTTGTGAAAGGTAAAATATATTTGTCAAATATAAATAAGAACAAAACAAAATTTTTGAGCTTAACAATGCAAATAACTAAAATGAAAAATTTACTAAATAAGCATTCAATAGTAGATTTGCTCAAGCAGAAGAAATAATCAGCAAATATGAATACAAGTTATTGGAAAATTATACAGTGAGATGAGAAAAAAGAAAAAAAATGAGAAAGTGAAGAAAACTAAACAGATAATGGAACATTATCAAACAGATCAATAAAGAATCATACATAATCACCATATTGGGTTTATTCCTGGGATGCAAAGATGGTTCAATATGCAAAAATAAATTAATGTGATATACTACATTCACAGAATAAAATGTAAAAATTGGCTGGGCATGGTGGCTTATGCCTGTAATCCCAGCCCTTCGGAGGCCAAGGCAGGTGGATCACCTGAGGTTGGGAGTTTGATACCAGCCTGACCAACAGGGAGAAACCCCATCTCTACTAAAAATACAAAATTAGCCGGGTATGGTGGTGCATGCCTGTAATCACAGCTACTCAGGAGGCCTAGGTGGGAGAATTACTTGAACCCAGGAGGCAGAGGTTGCAGTGAGCTGAGATTACACCATTCCACTTCAGCCTGGGCAACAAGAGCAAAATTCCATCTCAGAAAAAAAAAGAAAGATAAAAATCACATCATCATCTCAATAGATGTAGAAAAAGCATTTGACAAAATCACATTTTCATGATAAAATCTTTCAGTAAACAAGGCATAGAAGGAATTTATCTCAACATAATACAGGCCATACTTGAAAGTCCAAAGCCAACATCAAACTCAGTGGTGAAAAACTGAAAGATTTTACACCAAAATCAGGAGGAAGGCAAGGATGCTGACTCTGACCACTTCTATTCAAATTGTACTAGAGTCCTAGACAAATGTATTAGGAAAAATTAATAAATTTAAGTCATCTGAATCAGAAAGGAAGAAGTAAAAATATCTGTTTGAAGATGATTTAAACTTTTATGTGGAAAAGACCAAAGAACCCCCCCCCAAAAAAAAAACTATTTGCAACTTGTAAGAAATGTGTAGAACATAGGCTTAAAATATTAGAGGCTATACATCTGTGACTGCCACAACAAATTGCCACAAACATGGTAGCTTAAAACAATAGAAATGTACCACCTTCCATTTCTGGAGTCCAGAAGTTCAAAATCAAAATGTTGACAGGGTTGCACTGCCAATTCACGCACACACACACGTGCACAAACAGACAAACATAGGACTAATAAATGAAGTCTGTAAAATTGTAGGATACAAACTCAACATACAAAAATCAGCTGCATTTACATACACTAAGAAGGAACTATCTGAAAAAGAAATTATGAAAGCAATTCCATTTATAAAAGCATCAAAAAATGAAATAGAAATAAACTTAACCGAGGAGGTGTCAGTAACAATGAAATGTATAAATCTGAGGAAAGAAACTAAAGATGATGCAAGTAAATAGAAAAATATTTCATGCTTATGATTAGAAGACAATGTTTTTAAAAACAACATACTTCACAGAGTGACCCACAGATAAAATGCCATTTCTATCAAAATCCCAATGGCTTTTTTACAGAAATAGAAAAAAAAATCATAAAATTCACATAGAACCACAAAAGATTTCAAATTGCCAAAGTAATAGTAAGAAAGAATAAAGCTGGAGGAATTATACTTCCTGGTTTCTAAATATATTACAATGATACAATAATTAAAACAATATGGTACTGCCCTATAAACAGGCACACAGACCAGTGGAACAAAATAGAAAGCTCAGTAGTAAACTCAGGTATATATGGTCAACTGATCTTCAAAAGTGTATTCCAATTTAAAATGGTAGACTGAAATGTGAAACCTAAAATTATAAAACCCTTAGAGAGGGAGACCCAAGATGGCTAACTAGAAGCAACTAGTATGCGTCACTCTCACAAAGAGAAGAAAGTGTGGCATGTAAATACTAGCTCTTCAACTGGAACATCCAAGTGGACACATTGGCATTTATCAAGGAAACAAGTTGGCCCACAGAAAATGGAAAGAAGAGAAACAAGACAACCACCCACCTGGGAGTGGCACAGAGCCAGAAGAGACCCCTCCACCATGGAGTGAGAGTCCCTGGGGATCCACACTTCTGCCATGGACCTTTGCAACCCTGGACTAAGGAGATCCCCCATAAGTTCCCCCAACTGTGCCTCCAAACTAACATGGAGAGCTACATGTATCTGGGCAGAGCCACAACTCAGGCACATCCACCACTCAAGCACATGCAGAGTCCTGGGAGCCTTTACTCCCTGGGCATCCCAGCATTAGTGGCTTCATCTCCAGCAGTGACAGAGTTCAGGCTCTCTCAGATGCCCCCAGCAAAGTGGCTGAATCCACAAGGCTGAGCATCTACGCCCTGAAGGCTTCATCTTCACTACATCTAGCAGGAAAAGGCCCACTGGCTGGGGACCCTAGAATGGCCACCCCAGCATCCCCAGGTTCTCAGCCTGCTAGCAGCTCTGCAGTTTTCTGGGATGGAGCTCCAAGTGGGAGAGACAGGTTACCATTTTTGCTGCCCTGCAGCCCTTGCTTCTGCTGCCCTCAGATTCTGAACACCTGGATGTCCAGGCAGAAATCTGTTGCAGAAGTGGAGAACACATGGAGAACCTCTACTAGAGAAGTGTAGAAGGGAAATATGGGGTTGGAGCCCTCACAAAGAGTCCCCACTGGGGAACTGTTTCGTGGAGCTGTGAGAAGAGGGCCACTGTCCTCCAGACTCCAGAATGGTAGCTCCACCAACAGCTTGCACTGTGTGCCTGGAAAAGCCACAGGCATTCAATGCCAGCCTGTGAAAGTAGTCTCAGGAGCTGTGACCTGTAGAGCCACAGTGGAACTGCACAAGGCCTTGGGAGGCCACCTCTTGCATCAGTATGCCCTGGATTTGAGATACTGAGTCAAAGGAAATTATTTAGGCTCTTTACGTTTTAATGATTGCCCTCCTGGGTTTTGGATTTGCTTAGGGCCTGTAGCCCCTTTGTTTTGGCCAATTTCTCCCTTTTGCAACAGAAGCATTGCCCAATGCCTGTACCCACATTGTATCTTGGAAGTAACTAATTTGTTTTTTATTTTATAGACTCATAGGCTGAAGGGACTAGTCTGTCTCAGATGAGACTTTGGACTTGGACTTTTGAACTATTTCTGGAATGAGTTAAGATTTTGGGGGACTGTTGGGAAGCTATGTTTGTATTTTGAAATGTGAGAAAGACTTGAGATTTGGCAGGGGTTAGGGTGGAATTATATGGTTTGGCTGTGTGTCCTCACCCAATTCTCATACTGAATTTTAATCCCCAATGTTAAGGAAGGGAACTAGAGGAAGATTCTATCATGGGTGTGGATTCTGATGGTTTAGCACCATTCCCTAGCGCCATCTCATGCATGAGTTATCATGAGATTTGCTTGTTTAAAAATATGTAGTACCTTTCCTTTTACTCTCTCTCTCCTGCCACCAAGTGAAGAAGGTGCTTGCTTTCCCTTCACCTTCCTGCCATAATTGTAAGTTTCCTGAGTCATTCATTCTGCACAGCCTGCAGAACTCTGAGTCAATGAAACCTATTGTCTTCATATATTATCCACTTTCAGGTAGTCCTTTATAACAGTATCAGAATGAAATACAGTGTGAATGTAAAAAAAATAGTGCAGCTACTATAGAAAACAGTATGGAGGTTTCTTAAAACACTAAAAATAGAGCTGCCATATGATCCAACGATTCTATTTTTGGGTGTTTAAGCAAAATAATTGCAATCAGGATCTTGAGAAAACATTGGCACTTCCATAGTCATTTCAGGATTATTCACTATAACCAAGTTGTGGAAACAACCTAAATGTCCTTGGATCAATGAACAAATAAA